AATATTGCTCACGCAGTTGGTATTGTCAGAAGGTTTCTTGAAAATCCTGGAAAGGAACATTGGGAAGCAGTCAAGTGGATACTCAGGTACCTGAGAGGTACCACGGGAGATTGTTTGTGCTTTGGAGGATCTGATCCAATCTTGAAGGGCTATACAGATGCTGATATAGCAGGTGACATTGATAATAGAAAATCCACTACTGGATATTTGTTTACGTTTTCAGGGGGAGCTATATCATGGCAGTCGAGGTTGCAGAAGTGTGTTGAACTCTCCACAACTGAAGCAGAGTATATTGCCGCTACAAAAACTGGCAAGGAGATGATATGGTTCAAACGGTTACTTCAAGAGATTGGATTGCATCAGAAGGAGTATGTCGTCTATTGTGACAGTCAAAGTGCAATAGACTTTAACAAGAACTCTATGTACCATGCAAGGACCAAACACATAGATGTGAGATATCATTGGATTCGTGAGCAGGTGGAGAACGAATCTTTACAGGTCAAAAAGATTCATACAAGTGAGAATCCTTCCGATATGCTGACCAAAGTGGTACCAAGAGACAAGTTTGAGCTATGCAAAGAACTTGTCCGCATACACTCAAACTAGAAACTACGAAGTTACCTCCTTCGGGTGAATAGGACTGGAGGGGGAGATTTGTGGGGTCCAGCCCACATTTCAAGGAAGAAATTTTCTTCCTTCCTCACGTTTGTCAAAGTTGGTAATAGCAGCAGCCCACATTTTTTGTTTTCTGTCAAAAATGGCACGCTGCAGAGATGAAGCTGTCAAATGAGGTAGGCTGTATTCTGCCTATAAAATGAAAGCTTCGGCTCTCATTTTTATCATCACAATCTCAGAGGAAAATATATCTGAGAGCTAGAAAGAAAGAGTGAGGTTTCACAGACAAGGTATAAGAAAATAGTCTGTGAAGAAAATAGAGAGTGAGCGATATTGTAGTGAGGTGGGAATATCAAAAGAGGGTTATTTCTTTTGAGTGTTGTAGTGGTCTTTGGAGTATTTNAAGGTATAAGAAAATAGTCTGTGAAGAAAATAGAGAGTGAGTGATATTGTAGCGAGGTGAAATATCAAAAGAGGGTTATTTCTTTTGAATGTTGTAGTGGTCTTTGTAGTATTTTACTCGGGCCTACAAAGTGTAAAATCCTTACTATAGTGATATCAGTTACTCCTCTCGGGGTCGTGGTTTTTTCCCTTATTCAGAAGGGTTTTCCACGTAAAAATCTTGGTGTTATTGTTACTCTTTTATTCTTATTAATTACCGTATCTCGGTGCTACATTATTATTCCGCTTTTATTACCGTGAATATTATTTTGGTAGGGGGTTTATTTCCCAACAAAAATGACATTTATTTTGGACCAAAATAAAAATGCCAAAAGGTCATTCATTATGGGATGGAAGGAGTATATATTTTGATTGGCACCGTATGATACAAAGCTTAAGCAGCTGCATTGATTGATTTGAGGGGCACAACTTAGACTTTTAATATCCTGCTTGGGTTTGATTCCTAGTCTAACATTTGTTCAAAATCCAGTGTCGTCCTCATAATTCACATAGTTAGTATACTCTCCTACCATACTAGTTTGCTAATTACTCTAGCATTGAACAGGCAAAATAATGCTCTTATTAGTAGACAGTACTTTAAGATAGAGATAACCTTCCTCTCCAAATTCTTGACCATTTTGTTTTGCTTTAATTTGCAGCTCACAGAAATGGATATTGGATTAGCAGTTGGGGGTGCATTGCTTTCTTCAGTTCTGAATGTTCTCTTCGATAGGCTTGCTCCTCTGGGCGAGCTGCTGAAGATGTTTCAGAGGGACAAGCATGATGTTCGATTATTAAAGAAGTTGAGAATTACCTTGCTTGGTCTTCAGGCTGTTTTATGTGATGCAGAGAATAAGAAGGCATCAAATCTATACGTGAGCCGGTGGCTTAATGAGCTTCAAGATGCTGTGGACAATGCTGAAAACTTAATGGAAGAAATCAATTATGAAGTTCTGAGAGTTAAGGTGGAAGGTCAGCATCAAAATCTTGCAGAAACAAGCAACCAACAGGTAAGTGACCTCAACTTATGTTTGAGTGATGAACTTTTTCTTAACATGAAGGAGAAGTTGGAAGACACCATAGAAACATTGGAGTTGGAAAAGCAAATTGGTCGCCTTGACCTAAAGGCATATCTTGACTCGAGTAAACAAGGAACTAGAAAACTTTCAACTTCTGTGGTTGATGAATCTGATATTTTTGGTGGGCAGAATGAAATAAAGGAATTGGTTGACTGCTTATTATCTGTTGATGCAAACGGAAAAAATTTGACTGTAATTCCTATAGTTGGAATGGCTGGGGTTGGCAAGACAACACTTGCTAAAACTGTTTACAATTATGAGAATAAGGTGAAAGACCATTTTAATTTGAAAGCTTGGATCTGTGTGTGTGAACCATATGATGCTTTCAGAATAACAAAAGGGTTACTTCAAGAAATTGGCTCATTTGACTCTATGGTTGATAACAATCTTAATCAGTTTCAAATAAAATTGAAGGAAAGCTTAAAGGGAAAAAAGTTTCTTATTGTTTTAGATGATGTGTGGAATGACAACTCTAATGAGTGTAATGATTTGAGAAATCTTTTTGTACAAGGGGAGGTAGGAAGTAATATCATCATGACGACACGTAAAGAAAATATAGCCTTGATGATGGGAAGCAGTCCAATTAGAGTTGGGATTCTGTCTAGTGAAGCCTCTTGGAATTTATTCGAAAAACATGCATTTGAAAGCAGGGATCCTGAGGAATATGCAAAACTTAAAGAGCTTGGGAAACAAATTGTTGGCAAGTGTAGAGGATTGCCTTTGTCTTTAAAGACACTTGCTGGCCTTTTACGCTCCAAAACAGAGGTTGATGAGTGGAGACACATTTGGAGAAGTGAAATTTGGGAGCTTCCAAGTCGTCCAAATGACATTTTACCAGCCTTAATATTGAGCTATGATGATATTCCTGCACATTTGAAGCGATGCTTTGCCTATTGTGCAATATTTCCCAAAGATTATCCATTTTGCAAAGAACAAGTCGTTCAATTATGGATTGCTAATGGTCTTGTACAGCCGCTGCAACAAGATGCCACAATTGAAGATTCAGGCAAGCAATACTTTCTCGAGTTGCAATCAAGATCATTGTTCGAAAGGGTCTGAGGGTCTTCTAAAAGGAATGCATAGGAATTCTTAATACATTACCTTGTCAATGATTTGGCCCAAATTGCATCTTCAAAACTATGCATTAATTTGCAAGATAACAAAGAATCTCACATGTTGGAAAAATGTCGGCACCTATCATATTCAGTGAGATATGGTGACTTTGAGAAAGTGAAACTTGTTGGGCACATGCCCATGTTGTCCAGCCAAAGGCCCAATGGCCTAATCCTATTCTCTTTTGGTTTTCATTCCTATTTGGAATTGGATTCGATTTATTCCTATTTTGAGTGGGTTTTTGGCTTTAAGAGAAAGCACCACTCATGATCTATAAATAAGACAACCTTGGAGAATTATTCTATGCTCATTGATACAAGTCTTTGAAAGACTTAAGTACATAAGAGTGGTTTTTGAGAGAGCTTTCATCAAGAGAGAAGAGAGAAGAAAAATATTTGTTTTGCTGCAGATTTTTATTCCAAACAGCCAATATTCAAATCACGTTTTCGATTCGTTAACCGTTGGATTGGGCTGAAATTATTACTTAGTGTTCGTAACATCTTGGTCTTAGATTTGAACAGTGGAGATCGGATTTGGAGGCTCGTAGCATCTGATTTCGAGCCTTGAACAGCAGCTTCATTTTTATGGATTCTCCTCTTTCGTCAATTGATTAGTTATTGCTCTTGTTGCTATTGTTGCTCCGGGTTTAGCACTTGTTGTGTAGCCAATTTGGAGAACTTTTGTAACCCTCTTATTATTATAGTGCAGCTTTTTGGATCTTTGTGATCCCGTGGTTTTTACCTTCGCTTTGAAGGGTTTTTCACGTTAAAATTTGGTGTTCTTTATCTTCTTTATTTTCGGGTTTGCCTCTTCCTCGACATAACAGTGGTATCACAGCCTTGGTTATTTATCCGGGTTGTTACGGAATGGAGGCGAATATGAGCAGCATGGTATGTTTAAATTGGAGAAATTATAATGTTTGGAGAAGCAAGATGAAAGACTTGTTGTTCGTGAAGAAGATGCATCTACCCGTTTTTTCAGCTCATAAACCGGAGAGTATATCCGATGAAGATTGGGATTTTGAGAACCAACAAGTATGTGGATATATAAGACAATGGGTTGAAGATAATGTTCGCAACCATATTGTGAACGAGATACATGCGAGATCATTGCGGGAAAAGCTAGAGACTCTTTATGCTTCAAAAATCAAGAACAACAAATTGTTTCTGCTAAAGCAGTTGATGACCTTTAAATACAAGGAAGGAAGCCCTATCCTTGATCACATAAATGATTTCCTGGGCGTCCTTGATCAGCTATCTGGAATGGGAGTTAATTTCGATGATGAGATACAAGGACTTTGGCTTCTTAATACTCTGCCAGACTCTTGGGAAACTCTTCGTGTTTCTTTGACAAATTAAGCTTTTGGAGGTAAGGTGACCATGGAATATGCCAAGAGTGGTGTGTTGAACGAGGAAGTAAGGAGAAAATCTCAGTGTTCGTCCTCACAAGCATATATCTTGGTTATAGAAGATCGGGGGAGGGGGGATAGAACAAGAGGCTCAAGGAATACATGTAAAAGTAGAAGTAAGTCAAGGTCCAAATACTATAATATTATATGCAACCACTGTGGCAAGAAAGGACATATCAAAAAGTTTTGCCGCAAGTTGACTCAAGACACTAGAGATGGAAAGAAAGCTGAAAATAACGAGAACAATGTTGTTGTTATTGTTCGAGATGACCTTTTTATTTATGATGAAAATGTCATCAATTTGGTATCCCATGAGACGAGCTGGATAGTAGATTCTGGAGCTACCTCACATGTCACACCAAGAAAAGATTTTTTCTCATCTTATACTCATGTTGATTCTGGAGTGTTAAAGATGGCAATGCCAGTGAAGTTAAGGTGTTTGGTGTTGGCCCAGTTTGTTTGAAAACTAATAATGGTTCAACATTAGTTCTTCAAGATGTCAAGCATGCTCCAGACTTTCCTTTCAATTTGATCTCCGCATGAAGACTAGACGATAAAGGTTACCATAATGCTTTCTTTAATGGCCAATAGAAGAGCACTAAGGGCTTGTTAGTAGTGGCTCGATGAGTCAAGTCTGTTAAATTATATGTGACACAAAGCTCTATTTTTAATGACTCCATAAATCTGGTGGAAAGTGATACTTTATCAGAATTGTGGCACCGAAGACTGAGTCATATGAGCGAGAGGGGGATTACGTGTTTGGCTAAGAAAAATTTACTTTCTGGAGTGAAAAGCAAAAGGTGTATCCATTGTTTAGCTGGCAAACAGAAAAGGGTTTCCTTTCATAGCCATCCTCCCTTAAGAAAGCCCGATTTATTGGAGCTAGTACACTCTGATTTGTGTGGTCCCTTTAAAGTAAAGTAAAAAGGTGGTGCATATTACTTTGTGACCTTCAATGATTATCATTCTTGTAAGCTCTGGGTGTATCCTTTGAAATTTAAAGATCAAGCACTTAGCGTGTTTAAGGAATTTCATGCCTTAGCTAAGAGACAAGCGGGGAAGAAATTAAAATGTATTCGCACTGACAATGGTGGTGAATATTGTGGTCCCTTTGATA